GGACAGGCATGGACACACATTCAATACTAAGAACAGCTCAATATAGCCAACCTTCAGTAATGGAGAAGGCACCTTAAGAAGAAGTCTATAACTAAATAAGTTAAGAAGGGGAGAACGGTTTGTCTCATTGGTCATTCTGAATTATGTCCGTATTTTTTTACTGATTGAATATGAAGAGTTTAAAATTTGTCATTAAAAGATTTTATTATGGTCTAAAAGGTAGAGTGCGTATGTAGAATCCGTTTTTCCTATTATAGAAAGCCCTTCTATGTTCTGCTATACGCTTGATAAAAGTTCTACCAGTTTGACCAAGTTTTTGGGAAGTGGCTACTGAAGACAGTACTCTTAAATGATCCCATCATGTCAATTTGTTCAGTAAAAAACTAGCCTAACTTTAGGTACAAGCAACTAAATTTGTATATATATTATATATATTAGATATCACATGCAGCAACTTACACTTATTCCTAAGGTTTTATTATGCAATTTGCAATTTAGTAAAATTTTGCAATGGATTGTATTATATTTTATTATATTTTATTTTGTAATATTGACGATTTATGTAATTTTAGTAAATTTTAATTGTTATTGATATTTTGTTTACTTTGTGTAAGCTTTGTCCGTAAAATTGTACAATTTTCATTGACAATAAAGCATTTTTCTATTCTATTCTAAAGAAAAATGCTAATTAATTTTGTAGATTAGGTTAAGTTAGGTTAGATTAGGTTACGTTAGGTTAAATTAGGTTAAACGACGACCTCTATGGAGACAAGTACAAAATCGTCATGAAGTACTTGGATGCCTACCCCCTCTACACCATGCCATTCGCGGACAAGATTGCTCTGGTAACAGAGCTGTTTCCGCCCGGGGGTTAGCATGGGGTGGAATGGGAGGCCGAGGATGCAGAACGGATTGTTTCATTCTCCCTAGAGAAACTCGCTGTTGTAAGTGAGGCCTTTAAGGCCGGAAATGCTTCCGAGCTAGAATCAATACCGCCTGAAGCAGCACCTTGAACGTTTGGATCCTGATTGGCTTTTGGGCTGCATGAACGCAGTAATTGTCGGTCAGATTTTCCCAGCGTCTTGGAAACTCTCAAAGTTGGTGTTAATCCCCAAAACCAGGGAGAGACACTGTTGTACGAGAGATTGTTGAGAGCAAGAATCGAAGAGATGATCGAGAGGTCTGGAGGACTGTCTCCAGAATAGTATGGCTTTGTCGCGGCAAATTTACAACTGAGCGTATGTTGGCGGTGTTTGGGGCCTTGGAGGGAAGCAACAGCAAGAGGACTCTCTTCGACGTCAGATAGGCCTTCAACAGCATAAAGTGGTCCCACGTGATGAGCTTCTTGAGTGGACGGAACTGCCCAAAATATCGTTGAAGGATAAGAACATCGTCGCGGACTACCTGTTAGAGCGAAAGCTCGTTTTTTTTTATTTTTACACCCATTTTTTATACTTTTACATTTTATTTATACGTTCCATCTATACACCAAAATCTGAGCATATACTCACGGGTGTTTGTAAAAAAAAAGGACTTCGAGCGTGCGTGGTTTTTTCCAGAGCATCGAGCTCCTTACTGATACCTTGCAGATTGTTTCATAGAGCGAGGAAATTCCTACAAAGAGGTGGGCGAATAAGTCTGGGAGGCTCCAAAGAGATGTTATGTCCACACATGGATGGTTTCATTTGGCGTTCTCTGGAGAATACGGCGGTGGTGGTTTTAACTGATAGCAATCCCTGTGGAGCCTTCAGATCTGCAGTTTTAACATAAAGCCTTTCTACCACCGTGATCAAGCAAAAAAAAGATTAGGTTAGGTTAGTTTAGGTTAGTTAATTATTTAAAATAAAAAATAATTTTAGTAATTTAATGACTGTTTTAAATACTCCTACTTTTCGACAGAATAAAATCCCGACGCCTTTGTGAAAGAGATCAAAACCCTCAATGGATTATTTGGCTTTGTTGGTCCTTGGTTGAATTATCATAGTGAAATCATGAATGTGTTGCTTGTGTGAGTCCATATCAAATAGGTAAAGAAATAATAATAAGACTGACTCACAATCAATTTAATTTAACAATCTGACGACCGGTTTCGCTTTCTACAATTTGCAAAGCATCTTCAGGTCTAGATACAAAGTTAAACTAATGCTGCAATAAAATAAACCCAATTAGGGTGGTGTCTAATAAAGATAAAATAAACAAATAAGTTAGTTCATACAAATTATAGTAATTATGCCAATATTACATGTCTGTGGTTTTCAAAATGAATAAATTTGAATATGTAAAAGGTATTAACAGACAAGGTAAGACCCACAATTGGTATAAAGTAGTAATATTATATTGTAATAAATTAATAAATGAGCAGAAAAATTAAACAAAACAAACATTACTTACATGCCGGTACTCTAATAATTGATGGATGGTAGGTCATGGTTGCAAAAATCATGTATTGTTGATTGGAGAACTTTAATGTGCTATTGCAGTTGTTTTGACAATAAACGGGAAGTTCTTGAGGAGAACAGATTTGATCCAATGAATTAGAGATAGGTATATTGTGGTTGTTTGTCAGCTGAAAGTGATGTTCTTTACTATTGTATTATTTAAATTATTTACACTTATATCAGAGATATATTTTTGGAATATGTGTTATTTATTGAGTATTTATGTAATGAAGGAGACAGTTTTATGACAATGAATAAGAGTAGCTGTACCGATTGTGTGGTTGTGCAATTATTTTGACTTGTAATTATCAAGTCTATTGGCAAAATTAATCAATTATTGTAAAGTCAATTATGTAAAATGTATATAAAAAGTATATAAAATTATTACAAATTAAGACAATCGGGGACAAATTAAACACACATTAACAGGAACAGAAACACTAAATGACGGGACAAACATTGAATTTAAAACTTAAACTTTGGGGAATGGAAGAAACTGCCAGCACTACATCTCACTGTTGGAAATAATGAGTTTTTTCATATTTAATCTATTAGATTTAAGAGGTAAATTTGACATATGTAGATTGAAGTGTGACAGTTCTTCTTCTATTACTAAATACTGTAAGTTTAGTTATTCAGTATTTTGGAGTATGTTGATATTAATGAATGTCTCAAAATTTGTTTTAATTTAGTAATCAAAAGTAAATTGTTGTGTTTAATATTGACATACTTTAACACAACAATTTACTTTTGATTACTAAATTAAAACAAATTTTGAGACATTCATTAATATCAACATACTCCAAAATACTGAATAACTAAACTTACAGTATTTAGTAATAGAAGAAGAACTGTCACACTTCAACCTACATATGTCAAATTTACCTCTTAAATCTAATAGATTAAATATGAAAAAACTCATTATTTCCAACAGTGAGATGTAGTGCTGGCAGTTTCTTCCATTCCCTAAAGTGTAAGTTTTAAATTCAATGTTTGTCCCGTCATTTAGTGTTTCTGTTCCTGTTAATGTGTGTTTAATTTGTCCCCGATTGTCTTAATTTGTAATAATTTTATATACTTTTTATATACATTTTACATAATTGACTTTACAATAATTGATTAATTTTGCCAATAGACTTTGGTGTACTTTGGTGACAAAGTGTAAATAATTTAAATAATACAATAGTAACGAACATCACTTTCATCTGACAAACAACCACAATATACCTATCTCTAATTCATTGGATCAAATCTGTTCTCCTCAAGAACTTCCCGTTTATTGTCAAAACAACTGCAATAGCACATTAAAGTTCTCCAATCAACAATACATGATTTTTGCCACCATGACCTACCATCCATCAATTAATAGAGTACCGGCATGTAAGTAATGTTTGTTTTGTTTTATTTATCTGCTCATTTATTAATTTATTACAATATAATATTACTACTTTATACCAATTGTGGGTCTTACCTTGTCTGTTAATACCTTTTACATATTCAAATTTATTCATTTTGAAAACCACAGACATGTAATATTGGCATAATTACTATAATTTGTATGAACTAACTTATTTGTTTATTTTATCTTTATTAGACACCACCCTAATTGGGTTTATTTTATTGCAGCATTAGTTTAACTTTGTATCTAGACCTGAAGATGCTTTGCAAATTGTAAAAAGCGAAACCGGTCGTCAGATTGTTAAATTAAATTGATTGTGAGTAAGTCTTATTATTATTTCTTTACCTATATCATAGTGACTTTCAATTTTATCTTTGTGGTGCATTCTGATTTTTTATTTCTAATGTAAATGTGTTTTCATGTATATTTTGTACAGTATCGATTACTTCTTAGCTGAATCAGACAGATAAAAAGTATCTACATAAAACACAGGTATCGGAAAATAATATTCATTAATTCATCACCATAAAAACATATTATTTCGAATGATATTTGGAGTATTTTAATATGCATGTAACATCATCAAGTGATAGAATAATTTACATTATATTTTTTACATCGACAGCCAAATCAATTAGATTTATATTCTAAACAAGCCATAATTTTAAAATACCAATATGATAGATAGCTGTAAAAATGGAAGTTCATATTTGAAGTCAGTCTATAAAATTGGGAGTATATTATGTGCATTCCCGTGGAACTATAAAAGAGGAATACGAACATCGTACTGGCAGTTACTAATTATTTTTTGCATTTCTTTAGTAGCTATCTATTCAATATGGTTGGTGCTGCTATATTTCAGTGCCCTATCGACCTTTTCGTTTTTGTTGCGATTCGTCTACGTTGGACTTTTTTACACATTTTACATGTCTGTTAATTGTGGCCTTATTTTCAACCAACATAAGTGGAATTCTCTTTTCATAATGGTTTCCGAGATCAACAAAGAAACTAAATGTAACGTTAAAAAAATTAGTGTACTTACAGCTAAGATAATTGTATGGATTTTTACTTTTATATGCAACTTTTGCACTATATTTGCATATTTTGAGCAGCTGGATTCATTCGCATTAAGTTTATTATTCAGAGTATTAGTTTTTAGTATAATGATGGTAGTTAGTGCTTTTGTACTTGAAGTCTCAAGAATAATTACCAAATTGCAAGATATCGTTACCTTAAAACTACACAACTTCTGTAAATATTCTCTTGAAAACGAAAATCAAGTCATTAAAGATCTTAAACTTATGGCTAAAATGTATAAGCATTTTTGTAATGTTACCTCCCATATTAATTCGATATTTGGAGCGCAATTTTTCTTGATATTCTCAATAATTTTTATACAATCGCTGAAGAATATAGATGAAGTGCTAACGCTAGTGTATTCGAAGGACGATGGTTTAGTCCTCAAAATGAAGCAGATTTATATACGGGAAATGTTACTAGGAGCTACTTTGGCAGTAAGTATACATATACATATATGGAACGATGACTCTTGGCAGAGTATCAGTTGCTCAATTAGTATAGGGAAATTAACATAAAAATACCCTCTTCGATACTTTGACAACTGTATATGAATTTTCTCGGTACTTTGACTAATCTAGATTTATTTTAATTTACGTAACAACAAAAATAGTCCACAATTTTTGTAATAATTTGATTTACTCTCTTTTTTACTAAAAAAGTTACAATTAATTTAACCCTTAACTACCATGGCCAAAAATAGTAACATTTGTACCATGGCAGGGTCAAATTTGACCCCCTATTGTTTTTTGTGTCAAAAAATATTCTTTTTTTAACTTGTTTTACTTTAAATTATTTTGTTTGCAGCTACTTTTACATTTATATAAAAATAAACGAATTTGGTTATTTAGATATAACCTTATTTAAAAAAATACTTTTGTATTCAGTCAAATTAGCATAGCTATGCACTTTCTCGAATTATAAGAAAAATAATAACAATGTGCAGTTTTTTATATCCAATGGTGAAATCTAGGTATCATAGCTGCTACCTAAAATAAAAAAATCGATTTAGATTTCGTATCTTAAAAATGACAAGCATGATTTTACCTTACTTTTAACCTAACGTCTGTATGCGGGAATGATTTTTGCAAATAAAAATTTATCGCACGATGAGCTTTTTTTCTTTTGGTTTTTGGAATATGGACATATTTTACACCTTCCCCTCATTTTTTCGTCGTTGTGGCTCTGGATTTGCGGCAGGCGTTGGTTCCTGAAGTCCGGAAACTTTAAAAATGGCACTACGAATTTCTCTCGGTAAACAAGTTTGCTGAGCTCTACGAGTTAAATGGTCCTTAATAAGTTCTTAACCTAAAGTGGTTAGAAACAATCTTCTTTCCATTATTTGATTTTGCTGAACTCCATTAAAAATTACGTTAGCATTTAATCCTGCAATGTCCAAAATGCGAAACCATATTACTTGAAGCCATGTACGAGTTCTTCTGCCAGTTTTATAGCATGCATATTTCTTATCCAATGTATCCACCCCACCTTTTGTCTCGTTGTAAAAATTTATAATCTCTGGCTTTCCATTAACCATTGTATTGGAATGATGCATAGTTGACACTAACAACACTGCACGATTTTTCTTAGGAACAAAAAATATAAGGCTCTAGCTTCCTGTAAAACCAAATAAGGCAGAATTAGGTGGCCTGTTTTTGGGGTTGAAATTCAGCAGGAACCTCTCTTTTATTTCTTTTTAGAGTTCCAATATATAAAATTTTATGGCTTCTCAGTTCTTTTATGAGCTCAATGGATGAAAACCAATTATCTGCTGTTATATTTCTATTTGTACTAGAAATTGGTGGAATAAGTGTCAAAACATCTAGAGTGGGGATGGATAACTTTTTTGGATTTGCTCTGCATGTATCTTCTCCAGTATATATAAAACCATTTAGCAAATAATGTATCTTAGAGTCTACTAAACACTGCATTTTCAGATCGTATTTGTCTGGCTTATTTTTGAGATACATCCTGAATTGGCACCTTCCTCTAAATGCAATAAGCATTTCATCTATTGTGAGATATTCACCACAGCTATAATTGGACTGGCAATTAATTATAAACATATTAAAAATATTGGATATAGCTGCCAATTTATCACCGTGCGCATAACGTTCTTGTCTAGTAGCTGGGTCGTCAAAACAAAGGCTTCCAAGCAAAAAATAAAATCGGTGACATGGTTGCTCGAAATATATCACGGCCAGTACCATTCGTAGCAAATAAAGACCTTAAATCTTCATTATAGGATTTAAATACCCCAGCTAAATATAATAAGCCTAAACAGGCCTTTAATTCAATTATGTCAAGATGATTGGTATATTGACACGATAAATTGTGTAAATTATATTTAGAAGCCGTATTAGTTATTCGTTCATTGGTTTTATCAAGAATTTCTTGCAATATATCGTGGCTAATAATACATCCCAAGCATCAACTGGTTTCTCTGGCATACTAGCTCAAGCTTTTACAATAACACCAGGTAAATGACTAATTAAATTATGCTTACGTGTACGAGAAAAGGTGGGAGAATTTGTAGACCACTTGTACCTATTTTTGCCATAAAACACATCCCTTGAGTCAGCTATATCACTTTCTTCACCCGAATATTCACTACAAGTTTCGGAATTATTAATTTGCCAATTTATTTCGTCATCATCGTCCCATTTCTCTTCACTGTCTGTTTCGTGATCACTGTGTTCACTAGCCTGGTCTAAAACTCACTGTCACTATCTAGTCCATTGTCCATCATTTTTTGTCCCTCCTCTTCAAGTTCTTTCTGTGTCAGAGGACGTTTATTGCGACTACACCCTGCTATTTCAAATTACTCGTTAATTGCACTAGAAACACTTATACCATAAGCGGGTCAAAATTGACCCCGTGCGTGCCTAACTCTGCAGTAGTAACATAATAACGGAATTTTCGTAGATCGATAAATCACCTACCGGTCGAAGATTAGCAGAAAGCGCGCAATGCTCAATCTGTGTTTCGGTAGCGAAACTTGGCATTAAAAACGCGGGGGGTCAATTTTGACCCCGCCATGGTACTTAAGGGTTAAAAAAAATTTCATTTAAATTAACGTGTCTGGATGACGAGGTCATTGACAGGATGACGGTATAATACAATATAAGAGTATTACAAATACACTTTTACATTTGACAATATACAGTACATAGTTCTTCTTCTTAGAGTGCCGTCTCCCTACGCAAGTTGGCAATCATAATGGCTATTTTTAGTTTAGAACTTGGTGCTCTAAACAAATCAATCGATCTGCATTGATACCAATCACGTAGATTCTTTTACCATGAGTTTTGCTTTCGGCCAAAAGATCTTCTTGAATCTTTTCCTGTATTATCAGTCTCAAAATTTCATATTTTAGTCCCCTCATCACGTGTCCTAGGTATTCTAGTTTTCTGGTTTGTATAGTGGTGATTAGTTCTGTTTCTTTACAAACCCTCTCCAGTACTTCTTTGTTTGTAATTTTATTAGTCCATCATATTTTCAATACTCTGCAGTATAACCAGAGTTCGAAGGCCTCGATTCTTTTTAAATTACATTTTTTTAACGTCCAATTCTCAGTTAACTGGGAAGAAGCCACAATTAAAGATAAAAATAAGTTTATTGACGTTTTAATTTCCACTTCGGAAATCGTTCTCAAAATACAAACAGTAAATTAAACAAATTTTGTTTTTTGTTACATAGTGAAAAATTCTTCTAATGATTTAATTTAATCTGACTTATTTATATTGACAATTCAGACATACATTATGCATTTTAAAGTAGACTACTTTAAAATGATATTGCCAATATTGTTGAGTTGCGTTCCTGGAACGACTTTACTTATAACATAGTTCATTCGATTACATGAAATCAACTTTAACTTGAGAATATCCGTCAGAAAAAAAAAATCATAGCATGTAATTCGTCTTTAAAAAGACAAACACATGTCATGATGACAATAAAATTCTCCTGTTAGTGATTCCATAGTAAATTATGGGGGAAAAACCAGGAAAAAAACCTCATAATACTATCCCGACATGGTAAGTATTTGTTCGTGCATTTAGGTCAATAGTTAGTTAGGTTCACCTTCAATAAACACCAAAATTCTGATTTTATATGTTTCGTTATTTGGGGCCTGCGTAGCGCAAGCGGTAGTGTGCTTGCCTCGCATGCCGGTGGTCGTGAGTTCGAATCCTACCGCCGGCAAGAACAACTAGGCATTTTTAAAATGTCTATAGGCCCCAGGTCGACTCAGCCTGAATAAAATGAGTACCTTGGGTAAAACCAGGGGTAATAATAGGCGGTTGAAGCGTAGCACTGGCCATGTTACCTTCCTTGTATACCGTAGGCCCTAGATATAGCAGACTACCCTGCTATACTCCCAAAGCCGCGTGCGGTATAAAACGGGAGACTATTATTATGTTTCGTTATTTTAAAAACATAAATGATGTATCCTCTATATGTTACTGACTTAGTAATACTGGTATTTTCTTATTAATAACTTCCTCTTTCAATATTGGTAACCAGATCCTACTACATTCTGCCGAGGAATTTGCGAGACAATTGGCCTCATTTAGTATAATTAGAGCCGCTTCTTTGATTTTTTTTTTTACCATCCGTTTCTTTTAGGACTACATTTGAATTATTCCATTGAACCCCATGTTCATTATCCCATGCGTGTTTACATATTTGAAATCTATCAAATTCTCTATTTTTAATATAAGATTGATGTTCACTTATTCTAACATTTAATGGCCTTGATGTTTCACCTAAATAAAACTGATCGCATTCACAAGGTATTTTATAAATGCAATTCTTTGTCCTTTCTTGTTCATTGTTAGGTTTGGTTTTGGACAAAATAGATCTCAACGTGTTTGTTGTTTTAAATGTTGTTGAAATGTTGAATTTATTTTCTATCCTTTTAAGTTTTTCTGATAATCCTTTTATGTATGGTATTGTTATTTTCCTCGTATTATTTCTTGTATATGCTGTAGGATCTCGTTCTAAGTTGTTCTGTTCTATTCGATCGATTGTTGAAAATTCCTTATTTATAAACGATAAAGAATAATCATTTTTTAATATAACAGATGTTAACAAATGTTTCTCCTCCAAGAACGAATTTTCGTTAGAACAAGTAATTTTAGCTCTATCGTATAAGGATTTAATTATTTCCTTTTTTTACATGAATATTGTGATTTTATTTGAAATTTAAATATCTATTGGTGTGTGTTGTTTTTCTATACACCTGAGTCTCATATCCAGTATCGTTCTTAGAGATTAAAACATCCAGGAAAGGTAGCCTTATCGTTTAGATTATTTAGGAATGTGTCCAACAACTCTGATCCATGAGGCCATATTGAGAATACATCATCTACATACCTCCACCATAGGCCTCATGGATCAGAGTTGTTGGACACATTCCTAAATAATCTAAACGATA